GTCCAACTTCATCACTTGGGTCTTGACTTGCTCCCTCCTCCCTGTCAACATCAAACTGGTCAACCACCCTCAGCTTGGCTTCATTTATGTTCATTTCTGTTTCTATATCCAGTTGTTCTTGCTCCAGCAGCAGCTGTTCTTGTTTTTGCTTCAGATGCTGCCTTCTTCTACTCATTGCAGCTCTTGCTTCCAGCTCTGCTCTGTCCTGCTGCATCTTGAGCTTCATGAGCACAACCTGTGCCTTTACTTCACTGCCGGCACATGACTTGCTTGAACGTGATCCACCAGCGTCAGATCTTGCAGGAGTAGCATCATCTGCGGAGACTGAAGACAGGTGAGCCTCCACCTTGCCTTTCAGCTCATTCACTTCAGTGAGGTTCTTGTCATGATCCAGGTTTTCTCTCTCTTCACCCTCCATCAGGGAGCATATCACTTCATATGTTTGCACAAAATCAACATAATCATGCTTCCAGACATCAAAGTCCTTCCTGATCACTTGTGGCTTTTCTTCCTGCTCAACAGACTCCAACAGTAAGCTGCCACGTGATCTCAGCTTCTTCAATAACTGCTTGTACAGCTTTGACTTCTGAGCAGCCTGGTAGCATCTACCTTTCTCAGTTGTCCGCAGCTCCCTGCCCTTCGCAGACAACATCCTCTGTTCGTCACTCATTGTGGACCAGGCAAGGAATTGCTCAAGAAAAGATGGCACAGGATTTAGTTTCACTACTTAAATAAATGTAAGAGGTGCAAATAATAGTTTAAATACTGCAATAACAAAATAAAAATGAAGCACAAAAAATTGTGACCCAAAACCAGTGTTAACACATCAAGGTCAGACGTCCAGGTGCTGAGGCCAAAACTCAAGGTCAAAGTGACAAATACAGGTGTGTCTAGCTACAAACACCTCTACTAGTCAACCATCATGCATGATACGACAGGGGGAATCCTACTAACAACCCTGCGTAACCACTGACTGCCCTAGAATCTACAACCAGTTGATATTCATTCAGTGCAACTGAAACTGTTAAAAGAAGAAAATAAAGACAATCTTTCAACTACAAAGTCTCTCAAAATCAGGACTAGATCCAAAAGTTTTACTGTAACGGCCATTCAAATCAATTTCTACAAATAAACCGCCATTCTACTAGGTGCCGCTATATTGTACGTAAAACCTGAAACAAACAATAGTATCAACAAAAAATAATACACATGGACACACGAACAACACAAAAACCAATCATTTCAAAGCATTGCATACATTAATCAATTATCAATGGACAATAATCTTACTTTTGTGGGATCTGACGTCCCAGTATCACAATCGTACGTGTCAATGGCCACGCTTCACCGCGTGCCACGCCCTGTTCAAGGTTCTATTAATTGGAGGCGGCAAATTGGGGAAAAGAAAACATCGCTGCTCAATGACCTCTGGGCGGCGGTTACAGCCAGGCAAAGTGTCGGCGAGGATGATGACACTTTCAGAAAGTAACAAGCTCCCGGGTACTCATACTTCGTATATCTTGGGTTGTTCGTACAATTCATCTTGGGTCAGGTCAGTCACCTGACCTCCCCCATTATAAACCTATTGGGGAACTACTGAACTTGCTCTTTTTGGAACATATAGTTGTTATAGAATCCGCCCGAAGACGCAAATAAATGTGTTTTCATACGCTCGTCAAAGGATTCCCTGCCTTATTTTGGCGTTTTGTTCTTGTATGACGCCACAGAGAACGTCACAGGGGACGTTCTTTTGGGTCATAATCGTTTTTCGTTAATAACTTTCGACCAAATTAAGCTAGAGTCGGGAAAGGCACCATTGTGATTGCAATGAGCTTCCAAATCGATTGATATGCATTATGCAACCTGACCTAGTCCGAACAGTGTCCTGAGGGGGCTTGACCTGACGACCTTTGTGTCAATCTTGATTGTGACCTTTACCGAACAAAAAGTACCCACAACATTCGACACAGCTTGAGAGGAATACGATTATACCTAAATTTTTGCGCTATGGCCATTTGTTTGCAAAATTATTTGCCAAAAACAAAAACCCGACTTTAGGGTAATTTACCTGACCAGAGGTCACCAGTTGACCTGAGACCCTAAATTTGAATATCAATCGCTGCGTCTCGTTACGGCCGCCAAGCTCGTTTTTTTCCACTGGACTGAAACAGACCCTATAAATGCCGCCCCCTTTGGCGGAAAATGTGCCGCCCCTGTGCTTGACTGCCCCCACCCTATCGAAATCCTAGATCCGCCCCTGTTGTCTGCCAATTTTCCACATTTTCTCAGGCCTTAGACAGACAGACAGACAGTGAGACAGACAGACGGAGGGACCCGTCCGCAAGGGGGACCGGACCCACTGTGCCCAATCCCCCCCCCCCATCGAAATGTTCTGGATACGTCCCTGCCTGGGTTGTCAGTGGCCCCCAGGTAACCCGGGGCCCCTTCGAGAGCAGGTTGTCCCCTTCTGGGCGAAATCCTGGGTACGTGCATGCTTGGGTGTCCCAAGAGAAACGACCTTCAGGGCCTTATGCGAAGTACTGGCCCAAGCTTAAATAAAGTCATTACGTCATTAAGTCATTAAATGAAGTCAACTACGTCAAACTATCCGTAGTTGCGGCGCCCGCCACGGGCGGCGCTGGCCCGGCGAGCGGCGGTGACCCGACCGCTCGCCGGGTCAGTCTGGGCGCGTGTTTGCGGTTTGATGGCCCTCAGAGGCCGGCGTAGGGCCCTCACAGGCCGTCTGAGGGCCCTCAGAGGCTGAGGCCGAGCCCCAGAGGCTAGCGTGGAGGCCCTCAGAGGCCGCTTCGGCGGTCCTACAGAAGCTTAGACTTGGGCTTGGGACCCTTTGACGCTGGCGTGGAACCCTAAGGAGCCTGCGCGCAGCCCTCTAAGGCCAGCCGTGGAGCCCTCTAAGGCCAGCGTGGGGCCCTCTAAGTCCATTGTGGGTCTTTCTAAGGAAAGTGGGACCTTCTAAGGTCAGTGTGTGACCCTCATGTTCAGTGTGGGGCTGTCTATGTCCAGCTTGGGGTCTTCTAAGCCCAGAGGCAAGGGACCTTCTGAAGTCAGTTTGAGGCCCACTGGCCACTGAGACCAGCTTGGGGCCCTCTGAAGACAATGTTGAGCCCTCTGAGGCCAGTGTGAGACCCTCTTGACCAGCGTGAACCCTCTGAGGCCAGCGTGGGGCCAGCTGTCATCTGACTTCAGACGCTGGTGCTGGGCCCTCAGAAGCCAGCACGGGGCCTTCATAGGCTGGCGTCGGGCCATTAGAGGCCACTTCGAGGGCCTCGGCAGCCATACTTCAGATCTTATGCATGTTTGAGCCCTCTGAGGTAGGAGTGGCCCTTAGAAGCCGGCGCGGAACCCTCAGAGGGCAGCATGGGCTTCTAGATACCGACGTGGGTTCGAGAGCGGCATAGGGCCATCAGACTGACTCACAGACTCCCAAGAGCCAGCGTGGGGCCCTGGGAGGTCAGCAATAGCATGGGTCTCCTGAGGCCATTAAAGGGCCAGCTGAAGTCAGAGTCGTTCACTCTGTTACCGAATAGGGGCTTTCAGAGGCCAGATTCCCAGAATGAGCCTTCAGAGTTTTTAGATTGCCAAGTGTGCCCAAAAAGGCTCCCTCACATGGCGAAAGTGGCAAAGAACCACACCTGTGCGTTGGTTAAAGGTAGTGTGCCACCTTTGAAAGATTTCCCATTTTATTTTTCCTAGGATAAGAAGCTTCTGTTTTTACCTAATATCGCAAAAAAAAAAATCAAAAATGGGCCTGGAATAGTGCCTTTTTCGCCTAAAAGTTTATCGGTTTTTCGATATGTATAACAACTGTAGTGGGCTGACCTGCAAACAGGCGTCGGCAACAATCGCGAATGCGGCGCACATGTGACAATAAGGAAAGGTCATTATAGAGTTACGACGTACGGGAATGAGTTATCAGCTGTCTAATCGTAGACAACACAATGTCGAGCCTTAGGCTTAAACTGTAAGCCTGTATTGGTATTGTTTCTTTTATTTGGCTGTCGAACATTATTTATGGTTTGAAATATGATTTTATGTAAAATAATTGATATGAAAAAGCCGTCTCTTAAGTTATGACCCCATCTCACCACACGCAAGTGGCAGAAATGACAATGATCAGCTGACGCATTTTTCTTGGCCGAAGTCAGAGCGCGCGGCCCGACGCACCACCACCGCACCACAAAGTATGAGCAGAAGCCGCGCCCAAAGCCAGGGCCCCGGTAACGTGAGGTAGCCGAGTCGGGGCAGCGTGCGCTGACCCAAGCCAGGGCCGCAGCTTTGGGCGCGGTCTACCGCATCCCCGCGGGCAGCCCCGGGCTATCACATGACACCGGGAGGACGCGCGGCCCCGGCTTGTGTCAGCGCACGCTGCCCCGACTCGGCTACCTCACGTTACCGGGGCCCTGGCTTTGGGCGCGGTCTACCGCACCACCTAACAGGCGTGTTCGAAACCGAAGGAGATGATGATGAACGGGTTTATCGAAACTTGATTGGATGAGCATATCGGTAATAGCGATTTCAGGGTGTGCGTTTATTGTTCATAGTGGTGTGAAATGTGGTTGGGGTACGACCGACAACCCGTCGGGGCGAATTTCGCACTGGGGTACTCAAAATTTGAAGAATTTAAGACGTTTCCATGAGTTTTGTAGGCATGGATAAGTTCTAAAAATCCGGTTCTCCTTATCTGGGCCATTAACTCCATACGGTCCAGGAAAGCTGGCACACTACCTTTAAGTATGCTACCACTGGGGCCCCTAAGGTAAGGGTGGGGCCCCTTGAGCAGGTTTGGCCTCCCCTTTTCAAGATTCTGGATACGCCACTGGTCGCAGGCCTTGTCACTGCTTATGCGCCGCTCTGGCAGTTCCGGGGGAGGAGCTGTCGGCAGTGGCCGGCGGCAGTGGTGCTGTCGGCAGTGGTGCTGGCGGTGGCCGACGCCCGGTTTGTTTCCGTATCACCGACCCGCTACCCTCGCCTCCGGACAGGTGAAGAACGCGCAGCTGGTGAGCGACATCCACGAGCAGCGGCGGCTGTGCCAGAGGCGGCGCGCCGAGATCCGCTACCTGGAGCTGCAGCAGTCGGCCGCCGCGTGAGAGCGGCCCGGGAGTGCCAGAGGACGGGCCGGGCAGCGGGCAGGGGCCGCGCCGTCAGTTCCACCGCGCTGCCTGTTGGTGTTACCCAGCAGTCTGTTAGGATAGGATTGTATGGTAAAATATTGTAGCCGTCGATAGTTTGTGTAGATAGAATAGCGCCGCTACACGACCGTTACTCACGCCCAGCCGCGCCGCCCACAGACCCTGCCTCCCATAATTGCCATCGGTGTTTCTGCGATGACTGCTGAATCGTGGCGACGACTTTCTAAATTCCACTTATGGTAGAGCTTTGCCCCATATCGCCATTGGCTGACCGGGCCCGGGGGCCGGTGATTGGTCCGATATCGCCCTTAACTACTTGGCTGCGTTGACAGATGTGTGTGTATTACGACGATGAGGGAGAACAGCGATACGCATTCAATAAACGATGTTCTGAAATGACTAAAGCGTACAATGCGCATTTTTTTTAGTCTTAGCGTCCATAACTTAGACAGTAAGACAGGGTTATTCAGGATGAATAAGCCTGTTCAGGATGAATTACGCCGGATTGGCAGCCGGTGTGTGTGTGTGTGCGTGTGCGTGTGCGTGCGTGTGCGTGTGTGGAAGGAGTGATGCTGGTGACCTCGGGGCAGCTGGGCGCCGGCTGCCGTCTTTGAAGTAGCCGCTTGGTTCACGTCTCACCGAGGCTGTTCGGACAAAGGATTTCGACAAAGGATCACTGGCCTGCGGCGTGGCGCGCCGCAGCCAGCTGCGGCCGTCTGTCAGACCGTCTGTCAGACCGTCTGCGGCCGTCTGTCAGACCGTCTGTCAGACCGTCTGTCAGACCGTCTGTCAGACCGTCTGTCAGACCGTCTGTCAGACCGTCTGTCAGACCGTCTGCGGCCGTCTGTCAGACCGTCTGCGGCCGTCTGTCAGACCGACTGCGGCCGTCTGTCAGACCGTCTGTCAGACCGTCTGCGGCCGTCTGTCAGACCGTCTGCGGCCGTCTGTCAGACCGACTGTCAGACCGACTGTCAGACCGTCTGTCAGACCGTCTGTCAGGCAGCTGGGGCGTTCCATGACAGATCGACCAACCTATAACACCCTACCACTCAGATTCTGATGAAATTGCGACTAGGGGGTTATCTGTACCGTAGATTCTTAATCTCCTATTTTCAGCGTTATACTGCAAACTGTTTACGAGTTATAGCCAATTGCATTTTTGAAAATGCTCAGAGTAACCCTCTTTTTGACTCGTATTATATAAAAATATGGCCAGTAACTTACATTTATATGTACATCATTGGAATCCTCATTGACTGTAGAAAGTTAATAAATCAAAATATTTTGAAAATTTTCAAAAAAAAAATTAATTGATAAAATTTTGATTTTCAAAATGTGGCCATTAAATTTTTGACAAAAAGATTATGCCAAAAGATGCCTGTGGATATGGAAATTTAATGTAAAGGAAATTGGAGAGGTGTTTTGCCTTTAACTTTTTATTTAATTTTTTATTTACGGCAATGTTTAGGGTAAAAGGGAACATTTGGTGACACTTTCCGAAACCAATCATTCTCCCACCCTCATACCCTCGAAAAAGTTTATGAAAATTGGAAATAAAAGCCTGGCAGTCACACTCACACAACCGGCATGCGATTATTGAATGATCTTTGCTTCACTTTCGTTTCACTTTCGGCAGGGCATTGTTCAATGTCGGCCAAGAAAGTTAATTTAAAGCCGAGCACTGATGTGTGCTGCCTTGCATGTAATTCTGACACGCTTCTATGCAGCTTGCACTGATAAAAGGCTAGGAATTCTCAAAATTGTAAATCGGACGTTGTGGCCGGACATGCAAAACATCCGTTCATAACAGCCGAGGCTGTGTTAGGGTCAAATGAGAAGGCTCAAGCTAGTAATCGCATGAAGTTCGCTCTGTCCATGTAATAATGGGCTTTAAGTGATTTTGCTTATTGAATATGCCACACACAAAATATATGCAGACAAAAATGCGGCATTTGCAAGTAATTGGTCGCAATTGCCAGGGGCGTCGGCCCGTATTCACGTCGACATCTTACGATCAGTTTTCATCGTACGATCGATTTGGTATTCATGTTGATCATCTTAACTTTTTATCGTACGATCAGTCGGGATATTTAGGATACTTCTAATTCACGTCGACAATCTTAAGATAATTTGATATTCATGTCAAAAGTCCTAGGATTCATCCTACGACCCAACTTAAGATGTCCTAGCAGTTCCGAAGATTTGATTTTTAGCAGCATATTCCGGGACGACATAGAAAATGGATCCTCCGTCAAATGATACAGCAAACGAAATATATTCAAACGCATAGGCGCGGGAGCCGGGGGGGGGGCAGTGGGGGCAGCTTGCCCCCCAACTCTGGGGCCGTGGGGGCGGTGCCCCCACAGCTTTGAGACGGAATACCACACTTTTTTGCAAATGTTTTCTTTTTTTGTTGAAAAAGCCGAGGGGTGAAAAATAAGTGGCCTAAAACCGGTGAGAAAACTAGATTTGGGGGTACCCTAGGTTAGTCTCTATTATGGTGTCCCCCCCCCCAGTCGGAAAGTAGTTCCCGCGCCCCTGTTCAAACGGTTATTAGTGAGCTAGGTATTCCTAACATTATAAAAGTACCACAGATTTAGTATGCTTCAAAGTTATTATGGAAATTATTTTACTATTATTATGGAAACTATATTATTATATTACAAATGATCATATGAAGACTAAATCGATAAAACATGCATTTTAAGGTGGGCTTCCTTTCCGTGTTACTTAATCCACGACGGGCCGGGGGATGTTTAGACACCACTCTGTGGTTTTTCGCAAGTATCTCAAAAACTTTTTTCTGCACGTGTTGTGAAAATTTTAGACTAAGGTCACTTAAGGTCAGGTCACCAAGTCACGTCAAGTGGCCTCACCTCAAAAGTTAGAGTGCTTTTCAATCGTCATAGCGACACAGACTGCACGATCGCCTTGAAACCAGGGGTGCAGAGCCGGAGCCGGAGCTGCAGCCGGAGCCGCCGGAGCCGGCATATTTTGCCCGGAGCCGGAGCCGGAACCGTGAAACAACATAGCCCGGAGCCGGAGGCGGAGCCGGAGCCGTCAAAAAAAGGGGGCGACTCCGGCTCTTTTCTTTTGAAGAGGAAAAAGAAATATTGACATAGTTCGGTTTGACAGTACAAGGCAATAAAATATGTGGTACCTATTCAAAAAAGCCTTGTTACGCAAACACAGAAGCAACGTGCCTGTCCCGTAGCTCAGTTGGTAGAGCATTGGACTCCCGGTAGTGAGAGCCCGGGTTCGAGACGCTCCGGCGCTCGATATTTGAGACTCCTGACGGGTATGGTCTGCGGTTGGTGGGAGCATCCGCAGCCAGTTGAAGTCAGTTGAGTGGGACAGGCCGTGTCCGGCTTTGAAGGGCACGTTAAACTTTGGCATCTAAATTCTCCCGTTACCCGGAATTGCGCGTTCGGACGGTAGGGGTCGGGGTCTACGCAACAAGCTCCGCTTAGCGTGGGCTCCGGCTCTGTCAATCCGTCCATTCAAACATTCGAGCTAAATTTATAAAAAAAAAAAAAAAAAAAAAAAACGTGCACCAATCCAATCGCCTTTTTTTCTCCCACCCGTATTTAATTAATCGCATAGGGGATGTACTGAGTAGGAACCGGAGCCGTAGCCGGAGCCGAAGCCGCCGGAGCCGGACCATTTTACTCGGAGCCGGAGCCGGAGCCGGAGCCGCCATGACATTTCACCCGGAACCGGAGCCGGAGCCGGAGCCGTCTGAAATTTCCACGGCTCCACATCCCTGCTTGAAACTTTCAGCGATTGATAAGAGTAACAGTATCTTATAAGATATTTATCTCGAAAATCCCATACATGTGACCTAAGGTCAGGTCATTTTTGCGCCCTCTCTATTTCAAGCCTGGAGGAGAAAATTAAAAGGCGCCTCTTTTGGACGAACGTCAAATATCGGGAAACAGCTATACTCGACACCCTGAATCGAAAAATTGCGCCCTGACCCATCCTCATGTCCCTGAGGTCGTCTCAGGTCGTGAAAGTTCCCCAACAGTTTTTTTTTAGCAACGACTTTCGATAGACAGTCTAGAGCGAATGACCCTTGCCGGCACAGATTTGTTGATGCAACCCCTAAGTTGATGCAAGCCCTATTTTTTTTTTTTTCGAAAACGCGTAAAAAGCGGCCGATCGCGACGAAACGTTCAGTACCCTTGAGTTAATCAATTTTACACCTACCCTTGAAATTTCATGACCCTGACCCAAATGACCTTTGACCTGTGACTTATTTTTCGAGACCATGTTTCACCCAAAACGCGATTCAGCGTATGAGCCCGCATTAGCCGCGCGTTTTGCAGTCTTTTCGTGGTTTCAAGCGTTAAAACATGTGATATGATGTGGGTCTCATGCATAAGGGTGGGTGTCAAGGTCACCTGAAGGTCGGGCCAGGTCATTGACCTTTGATGACCTCGGTTCACTTTTTAGAGTTTTGTATGTTTCTAGGTAGAGCGGAATTCGAATTTAGCAACTATTTGAACATTAACGAAGTAGTTTTGGTGCCTTCGTAACATGTTACGAAACTGTCCGAAGCGGTTGACACGTTACGAATACCCGGCAGGACCCCTACTGATTGACCTGACCTGACCTGGCCCGACCTGGCCTAAGTGCATGACGACATCGTCTGTGATGAAAACTAACATGATATTCGTGATCAGCCCCCTGAAGACCCTCATAGCAGCCACACTTTACGACGTTCTAACATGAGTCCCGATTTTCCCGACTTTTGGGTCATTGACCTGACCTGGAAGGTCAACCGATGACCTAGGACCTTAAAATTGGGTATTATCGGCTTCCTCTCTTCACGGGTAACACGTTCGTATTTCCCGCAAAGCTCTAACTCGATCAGGGGCGAAACGGCAAAGGGGATGGTCCAACGGACCCCTCTTATACGTTCGCGGCTGGCAAAACACTAATAGGGGAAGGTGGGGTAAGACGGACCAGCTAAGGTTTGAGGCCGCATATCTTGCTACATTGCTCTCGTAATTCATATTATTATAGTCTTCGGAACGCTCAATCCTTCCTCTGTTGATATGTGTAAAGACTAAATTTCAAATTAAAGACATCTAGGTGGTGGATGCTCTTAAAGAGGGACATGTCAAAAACTCAGACAAGAAAAAACGTGGGGTAAGACGGACCACCCAGCAGTGCCTGCTATCCGTTCATGTGTGTTACACTTCTGCTCTGTACCTACTCTTGTAAGAAAAAGTAACCAAAATGGTAAAATAACAAAATGAGCCTTTATTCTTTACTCATGTGTGATTGAAGTGCAGCTAAAAGCTGGGAACATGTGTATTGATTGTCGTTTGGCATGAATGCATGCTAACTGAGCACTTGCATGCATGGCTCACATGCAACAAAGACTCCTTCCTA